TCTCAGGGGGGGTGGGGGGTGACGTCACCGGAAGAGGCGGGGCTGTGGGGAGCAGCTTCCTGGTGGGATTTGGAGTGGAGTGGTCGCATGCCAGAGGTCGCAAACGGGTTTTGATTCCTTACCCGTACCCGGCCGCACCAGGGTCGCAATTGGGTACCCGTACCCGGCCGTTCCCTACCCGTACCCTACCCAAAATGAGTGACAAATGGTGACTCACCAGTGACTCACGGCCTACCCGTACCTGGCCGCACCAGGGTCGCAAACGGCTACCCGTACCCGTACCCAGCCGGGTACGGGTAGCCGGGTAGGGTACGGGTATCGGGTACCCGGTTGCGACCTCTGTCGCACGCGGCATGTGACACGTGGGCTGAATAAAGAGAAGTTGTGTCGTCTCAATCTTCATCTGGTGGACTCCTTACATATTTCAGTCTAACACCTAGGAGGCTTTTAAGACCAATATTCATCATAGAGGTGATCGCGTAAATATATAAATGTGTCGTTAAATCCGCCACCACCCGACACAGCCAATTAGTAAGGTTCATCACGTAAACAGAACGTGCCAATTCGTTACTAGTACAGCACACCGGTGTGTAAATGTTGTGGCTTTGCTCTGCAACACATTACTACGAGTGTTGTATATACAATGTAAGAGTGTATATACAATGTAAGAGTGTAGATACAATGTATATAAATGTACATACATGTTTAATAAAGTACAGTACTGTCGAGTTCATTTTTCAGTAACCATCGGTAGCATCCAGGTCAGATAGAACACCTGAGATGATTTTGGTCACATGCCCTCAAATCCACCACTGGTGTGGTGGCAAGCGGTGCAATTCCACTCCTCGCTTCCCGCCCCGTGCGCATGCAGTGAACATAGCGAGTGGCAAAGTGTTGAGTGCGAATCGGGGGGTCCGCGTACCCCGAGACCTGACCTGCACTGTGCCATTTGTCATCGCGAAACAAACCCGTTCGACGAAAACAATAAGTAAGAATTACCCCGTTGCCTGAAGTTGGGGCCGGTGTGTCTGGCATGTATGTATCCACTCGCGAACGAATGACGAGGCGACCGGCTGTGATGATTCACAAACTGTGGATTAGAGGGGGATCCCACCCCCCCACCCAAGTGGGGAATTATTTGAAAAAAGTCCGGAAAAGTTTTGGCCGTTTTAACAAGAAGTCATAAAATTTCACCCCTTGAGATCGTGCCAACAGATCCACGAAACTATGTAAATGTTTGTATTTTACCAGGTAAGGCCCACTGAGCTATGTAGATATGTTTTCCCCGAAGTGACTTGGCCATCACAAATGAAAGCTCAACGAAGTGACTTATATATTCATCATCATCATCATTGTCGTCGTGTCGAAACTTCTAACAGAAGCCAAATAACTCGAAACTCATGATCCACAGAGACCCCAGAGACACAGAGACCCGCAGACTCACACAGACTCCAAACACTCACACAAAAACCCACAGACTCACACAGAGACCCACAGACAGCAACAACTGCCATTCACCAAGTAGCGGTGATGTCACCGCGGTGCTTGTGCCAGGCTATGTGCACTTTATGGCCACGTGAAGTGTCTAACACCCGTTGGCAGGAGGTCCTGGGACAGAACCTGCAGGTGCCATGGGTTGACTTACTGAGATGACTGACCAAAGCACCACCTGTACCCCGAGCTCTCTGCCCTCCATTGTTGCTGGAGGGTGACTCCCTCCAACTGCCCAGTAGCAGTGTCCTTCACGAGTCTCCTCCATGGAGGCCGATCTTGACACCACTGGTACCGGTCATCGGCAAGTCCACTCAGCTCTACATTCTCTTGTACCACATCACTCCATCTCTTCTGTAGCCCGTGCCGCGCCCACTTACCCCCCTCTATGCGGCCGAACAAAAGCTGTTTCGGCATGCAGTGGGGCCCGGTTAAACCCCAGACGGATCGGAGGCAGGCCAGCCTGAATGTTTCTAACCGGTGAATACTTTCCATTATGGGAGGTTTCACAAGCATAGAGAAGGGAGGGCATAACTATGGCCGAGAAGACCCAAAGCATCGTTCGGAGCGACAGACAGGTAGCGTCCACACAGCATTATGCAGACGATGAACAGATAATGCTGCTCAACTGATTCGGAGTGAGACCTCTCCTGTCAAATTGGAACTGGTCATGAGCACACTGCCCAGGTATGGGAAACTCTGCACTCTCTCCACTACTGCCCCATCACCGATTGGGAGTTGTGGGGGTGGAGTGTCCGATAGTACAAAATACCCAGGCAGGTGCTTAGTTTTGGTGGGGCTGATGGCAAAACCTTATCTCTTAGTGGCACGCTCCAGGTTTGAGCAGCAGCACCTCCAACTCCTCAGAGTGAGCAGCAATCACCAGATCATCAGTTTACGTAACATGGTTGACCAATAGGGAGCAATCGCTCAATGGCACCCGAACATCCATCAGCCTCCCATTGTTTCTGTATCAGATAGAATTCCTCTGGTACAGCCATGAAAAGCTTCTTGAACTACGTGGTCAAAAATATGTTAAATAATGTAGGTGCCAGAGGAGATCCCGGCCATGCAGATTTACCTGGGCCTGCGCACCATCATGAAGGTCCTAATGATTGTGAGCAGAGAGTCAGGGACTCCAAAAGCACAAAGAACAACCCAGAGCTCAGGGCTATTGATGGTGTCATAGGCCTTGACCAGGTCAATACAGCAGAGATGTAGGTCCTGTTGGAATTCCCTACACTTCTGCTGGAGCAAACAGACAAAAACAACTGTTATGTGTGCAGGACCGCCCTGGCCTGAAACCAAATTGGGGCTCAGCGTGCCTGGCAAGGCGATTTCGAATAATCCTTGCAGGACCTTTCCCGACACACTGAGGAGGGAGATGCCCCTGTAGTTGTTACAGTCTGTGCGGTCCCCCTTCTTAAAGAGGAGGACAACCAGGGCATCCTTCCAATCCTGCAGGATTCATCCAGTGGTCCACACTGTTATGATGAGAATAGGTTTGTTTCCCCTTTTTTCTGGCAACAAAACAACCCTTTCACAAGGAATCATGTCTGCATTAACCACAATACTTGTGGTCAGAATGCAAACAAAAAAAACACACTCTGATAATATATGCATTGTCTTTGAAACCGATTGGTCCACACCAGAGACAGCTTTCTTTTGAACCTCGTCTCAAACGGTTAGACCAGAGGATGCCAAAAGGCATACAGCACAAAGACAAAGCACTATCAGAGTAATGAGAGCTCGGGTTGAGCATCTACATCATGGGACCTCTTTTGCCAGTACCAAAATATTTGAATAGGTTTTCCCCCTATTTTGGTGCTGGCAAAGGAGGTCCCATGATGTAGATGTTATGTCAGCAGTTCACTTGGGAGATCATCTCTTCCCGGCACTTTTTCTGGTCTCAGATTTTGGATCGCCTTCTGTACTTCCTCAAAAGATGGTACTTGAGCCAGCCACTCACAGGGGGTGACTATGTCTTCAAATATTTTGGGCACCGCAGCCTCAGCAGGGTCATCCCCACTTTGCCCCATGATGTTTCCAGGCTGAGGAATTTCTCATCCCCCAGGACCTCAGAAACGCTCAGGAAATAAGCAAACCTGTTACTGGGGGTCAGAGATCGGATCACCTTTCTTTCCCCTAAAGATGGTGATAGGTGTGGCTATGCAAGTTACTTTTTAATGGAGTTAAAGAGTGATTTGTGATCGCGGTCTATTGCGGCAGACTCCATCACCTCAGCAATCCGCAACCACCACCCAACCTTGCAGCACCTCACGGCTCTCCGAACCTCCGAGCGAAGGATGCGGTAAGCCTCCTGATTCTGACGTGGGATGCTGTAGATGGTGAGAGTGGGCCTGTCGCTTTTTCTTAGCCAGCCTGAACACCTGCTCTATCAGCGAGGGTCTCTGGGGAGGTCTGGACCGTGTATCCAAAGCAGCCATTGCAGCTGCATTAGCCACAGTCCTAAACCTCGCCCATTTCTCCTCGGCATCAGGAGGAGTGGGGGACGATGTCAACTCCAGCTGCAAGCGATGATGATATTCCTGCCTGCAACTTTCATCAGAGTCCAGGCCACTATGGATTTGAATGGGGTCCTAAAAAGACAAACCACCAATGCAGTGGAGGGATGGCAGATGACAAGCCGATGGTCAGCTCCATGGTAGGTCCAGCAGATATTCATCCTTGGACTCAGCACGCATCCATGATGTTGTGTGGATGTGCCGATTCCAAAACAGCGTGTTGGTAACTACAATCCCAAGGACTGCACAGAAATCTAGCCACCTCCTACGTTGTTATTGAGCTGATCTGGCCCATGCCTTCCAATCACTCCAGACCAGGTGCCAGCATCATGACCCACTGGGACATTGAAGTCACCCAACAAGATGACTCTATCCCGAAGGGCCACTTTAGCTAGCACCTGGGACAGCATCTGACTCATCGGCCTTGCCTGCATCCCTCCACTGATGTTAATCTTCGGTGGGGAGTAACCACGACCACCACTCTTTGCCTCTGGTTGATGAGAAGGCGAGCACAAAGTAGCCTGAGGCTTACAGCTTCCCACACTTTACTGCCACGCTCCCAAGCACCCTTCATATTTTATCACTATCACACACTTAGACTCACTCTCACACACACAGAGACTCGCACACAGAGACTCACTCACATACAGAGCGACTCACACACATAGACTCGCACATACAGAGACTCACAGACTCACCCACACTTAGACCCACAGACTCACACACAGACTCTCACACAGAGAATCACTCACAGAGACCCACAGCGTCACACACAGAGACTCTCACTCACACAGAGACTCACAGACTCTCACACAGAGACTCTCACACGCAGAGAATCACTATCACACACTTAGACTCACTCTCATACACAGAGACTCTCACACACACAGAGACTCACTCACACACAGAGACTCACAGACTCACCCACACAAAGACCTACAGACTCTCACACGGAGACTCTCACTCACTCACACAGAGACTCACCACGAACGCCGCGAGTAGAAGCGCAGTGATGTAATCCGGCAGTCGGGTCATCGTTGTCAATTCCTTTATAGTCGCGAGGGCATCAACCTCGACTTCATCATCGGTGGACGGGTCGACCACCGCGCAAGCGAAAGGAAGTGTCCCAGCGTAGACGTGGCTGATGTAGTTCCCCCTTGAGCAACGTGACCTCTAATACCACACCCACCATGACCACTTCACTGTGACGCAGCGCCATCTGGCGGGCTGAGTGAGTCATGGACCTAGTATTTAATTTATTATTTTCTATTTATACGTGACTTTACCGAAAGAACCAAAGAGTGGACCAAACAACTTTAAATTTCTCCTCAGAATGATCGGAATGATAATTGGTTTTTTACCCTTCTATCTGGCAACAAAACTGACACCTTTTCTTTTACAAGGAGTCATGTTTGCATAGACCACAATACCTGCAGTCGTAATGCAAAAAAAAACATAACTCTGATAAGTGCATACTTTATCAGTTATGTTTTTTGATTGCATTATGACTGCAGGTATTGTGGTCTATGCAAACATGACTCCTTGTAAAAAATGTGTCAGTTTTGTTGCCAGATAGAAGAGTAAAAAATCAATTATCATATTTTTTACTGGCAAATGAGGTTCCAATGGTGTAAATGATCGGAATGATTATCGTGTCGATGGCTGGAGGAGAAATCCGATGAGCTGTGAAGCTCTTTGTACGAAAATAAAATCACGGATGGTCCAGTGGAGTGCACGGCTCTCGGAACGTTACAACAACAACAACACGACAGGAGTGTAACAGTATAGAAGAGGTAAACAAATCACGTAAACAAATATACAAATACACGATGTGGTATGTTAGCAGGTGTAAAGCCCCACTGCGGCTGCTGTGTCGTTATATCATCATCACCAGAGAGAATCAACAGCATTTTTAAAATTTGAGTAGTACGACGTTTTTTAAGACCGGAAGCAACAGGAGAGCTTCACCATTCTTGCCCGGTGAAGCTGATTGTAATTATCAGCGAAACGTCGGACTACTCAAATTTTAAAATGCTGTTGATTCTCTCTTCAGCACACCGGTGGGCTAAAGAAGTGAATTAATTTGTCCTTTGAAAAACGTGACACATTTTTTACTGTTTGGCCGTGTCGGGTGGTGGAGGGTTACGACACAATTATAAATAACGCGATCTGACCCAAAAACCTATATTATTGCTAGTAGAGTTTTACTCATAAATTGTAAACCTAGGTGTTTTCACGTCTTTTTGGTTGCTTTACATGATAATTATAATTTATCCCCGATACAGATTTTGTTGGGGTTAGACCGCGTACATATATTAATGTGTCGTTAAACCCGCCACCAACCGACACAGCGCACAAGTGACGCCATTACATCCACCCCTCTATTTAAGGAACGAAACCAGTGGACTTCTGCCACAACTGTGGCTGTCGCCCGATAAGGCCGTTTGTGAAATACCGGCGAAACATCAAGCTAATCAAGATTGTAAATGTTCGTGGCTTGGCTGTACTTGTGCAATGACCGGTAAATGACCCCAAGCCAATGTGCAGCCTCGCGGCTATTCAAAAAGGCGAACCGAGGTCTCCGATTGGAGGAACGAGGTCTCTGCAGGGATTGGCCAGGAGGCGACGGGCTTTTGAAAGTGATTGGAGGGAAAAGCTTCGAACGAGGATAGGGCCTCATTGGCCCCCTCTATCGCCTTGTCCCACATGCCTCTCTCTGGCCAATGACCTGCTAGCAGATAGGGCTGCTACAACCCCAGATCCCCTTCTCTGCTAGCAACCGGCGCTTTGCGCCATAGTGACACCTTCCATGGCACTACATTTGTGTTAAACTTGTGATTGATGTCACAAACACCCCTGGAGACGAACTTGCGAGAATTCATCATGGAACCTCCCTTTGCCATATGCTTGGTTCTTTCGGTAAAGTTACGTAGAAGGGAAATAATAAAAATAAAACATAATAAGATAAAATTCTCACGACGTTTCGGCCACAACGCAAGCAGCCGTCCTCAGGTGAAGAACAGGTCTGTCAGAAAGACAGCGTCCTAATGAACACTTCTAAGCTTGGCAGCGTATTTTCCCTTTGTCAGTATCAAAACATAATAGGTTTTTTTCTTCTTGGTTCTTTCGGTAAAGTCACGTAGAATGGAAATAAAAAATAAAACATAATAAAATAAAATATTTTATTATGTTTTATTTTATTTTTATTATTTTATTATTTCCATTCTACGTGACTTTACCGAAAGAACCAAGAAGATGAATCCCTGCAGTCACGAAAGCTTTAAATCGAAAAATAATAGGTTTTACTGGCAGAAAGGGTGAAACCCCTATTCTTATTTTTTGATACTGGCAGGGGAGGTCCTATGATGTAGATGTTTACCCCGAGCTCTCAATGTCCTGATAGTGTCATTGTCCTTGTGCTGGTCGCCTTCTGGCGTTGTCCTCTGGTCTAACACTGCTTGAAACGAGGCTCTAAAAGTAATAATTAAAATACTTTTTTAAAAACACGCTCTAATGAAATGTACCGTACTCGTAATGCCAGAACTCCACGACTCCAGGAAGTGGCCCCGAAGCTTGCCACAACATAAGGGACCGTGGTGATTTACAGCCAACGTCAGTTGAGCGTGGACAATTAGACCCAAGCCGAAACATAACATATAAGAAGATGGTTGAAAAATATTTGAAAAATGTTTAATTATATAATATAGTATTGTCATCAGTATGACATAAGTATACGAAGTTTGCAGTTGATACCACATTGGGAAGTGGGTTCAAATTGAGTTACAAGATTTGAGGATACGACAACGACAGAGAGTGAGTTTAAAGAAAGCGTGCAAAAATATCGTTTAAAATGTTTTATTAATTTTTTTATGATAGAATATAGTGTTGTCATCGGTATGACATACGTATACCAAGTTTGCAGGCGATGCCACATTGGGAAATGGGATCAAATTGACTCCTCCCCTTCCGGATCGTTAGATCCGGCCTTCCCATACTGCCCTGCTGGCTCCATCCCCATTCACCTCGCTTCCCATTGAGGCTGCCAAGGTGAACGGTGGCCCCTCCCACAGGCCCCCCATACCGGGCTCCCATTTACGCTCGCATTACAACATTAACGTTTATCTGGAACCTTTAACATCGAATGAAGTATCCATCGCGAGAGGTTGAACTCACCAAGAGCATGCAGAGCAGTGTAGACATCACCAGCAGTCTCACCGCCCCTCCTCGTCCTGACTCATGACGGCCGCAGTGGTCGTGCATCGGGTTGAGCCTGGTTCCATTCTCCATTCGCCCGCGTGTGTATGTGTGTTTATGTGTGTGTGTGTATGTATGTGTTTGTGTGTGTGTGTGTTTGTGTGTATGTATGTAAGTGTGTGTATGTATGTGTTTGTATGTGTTTGTGTGTATGTATGTGTGTGTCTCTACGTGTGTGTATGTATGTGTGTGTATGTGTGTATGTTTGTACGTGTTTGTATGTATGTGTTTGTACGTGTATGTGTGTATTTGTGTATGTATGTGTGTACTTCTTTGGCACCGTACGTAACCAACCACGCTAATCGGAATGTGTGGGGGTGGGGGGAAGGACAACACATCGTTAGCGTCTTGACTACGTATCCCGTATCTCTCTATCTCCCTGTCTCTCTATCTCCCTGTCTCTCACTATCTCACTCTCTGTCTATCGCTCTGTCTCTATCTCTCTGTCTGTCTTTTTTTACGATCAGTGGAAACAAGAAGATGCTCGGTGTAGTCGGCACTTTGCTTCGTTCATCATTTCGTAAAAATTGTTTTAAATAATAACTTTGCTTTATGTAAACCCCCACCTCTCGCTCACTCTCTTGGTCACTCTCTCGCTCACTCTCCCGCTCACTCTCTCGCTCACTACCTCACTCTCTCTCACTACGCACAAGACAACGCGGACGGGGCAAGACGACGCAGGGTCTGGACTCACCGACAAGCGACTGGCCTTGCGCGGCGCGAGTGATCCCCAAAGCCGGCTGGCTGACTTTGCTTAGAACTAATCTGTTCACGATACACACATTCAGGGAGATTTGGGGACTTCCTACGAAAGCAATCACTCTCAGTCTCGTTCATTGATATCTGTCATCGTCACCACTCTGTGGAAATTCCGTGTGCGCATAAAACTCTCCGTGGGGGGGTGTGTGTGTCTGTGTGTGAGAGAGTGTCCATCTGCTACAGCCGAGGTGTAGCGGAATTCCAACAAGACCTATATCTTTTTCGATTTAAAGCTTTCGTGACTGCAGGGATTCATCTTCTTGGTTGTTTCGGTAAAGTCACGTAGAAGGGAAGTAAGGAGGGTCGCGCTAAGCAAGGTCTGCCTGTATATAAATAAGCAATGTTTCTGTGGCAATGTCCATGCAATTGTCCTTTCGCGAACCGTTTACTACAACGCCTCGCTGGTTGGAGTTTCAAATAAGGTCCTTGGTAGACTACAACTTTTTCAGAATGTGGCAGGGTGGTCCCCCGAAACCCATCGCGTGACCGTATTTCTCTAGTTCTCTTTTCATTACATTGGCTACTGGTCTTGAAACCATTAAAGTTTAAGAGGTTTCTACTAGTTTTCAAAGCCTTGCATGGGGCTGGCACCACCGCCATATATTCACGAGCTAATTCATCCATACACCCCCTCAAGGTCGTTAAGATCTGCAAACTAGTGACTACCCCCCACCAGGATTTCCCCTTCACGCTGTGTTCACAAAGAACAAACATCTCCCCTCTCATGCAAGCGTCTTAACAGGCTGCTACTGAGTAGCGAGTAACAGCAGCACCAGGGGTGGAATGGTCACCACCCATATTGTCATCAGTATGACATAAGTATACGAAGTTTGCAGTTGATACCACATTGGGAAGTGGGTTAAAATTGAGTTACAAGATTTGAGTATACGACAACGACAGAGAGTGAGTTCAAAGAAAGCGTGCAAAAATATCGTTTAAAATGTTTTATTTAATTTTTTTATGATAGAATATAGTGTTGTCATCAGTATGACATACGTATACCAAGTTTGCAGGCGATGCCACATTGGGAAGTGGGTTCAAATTGACTCCTCCCCTTCCGGATCGTTAGATCCGGCCTTCCCATACTGCCCTGCTGGCTCCACCCCCATTCACCTCGCTTCCCATTGGA